ACAGTCAGCATTCACAGATGTCAAAAGTTGGTTGATAATAGATTTGTCTGAAACTTTTATCTCAGGTTCTTTTCTCTAGTGAAACGGACTTTCCCTGTCCTGACCAATAACAGAAGATAGCAGATCAGGGTGAAGAAAAGTACAGGCTTCTCCCCGAGGGACTGGTGTTCTTCTGCAGTATCAGGAGGCCAGACTTATTTTGGGTTGAACTACTGACCTGTATGAACTCTGCAGCAACTGATTCCCTTCTTTCACTTGTGGAAGTGCTAGGGGAATCTGGTGGGACAATCGGTCATTAAAGACCGATAAGGAGTGATTTGTGAAGACAAAACCTGCCCCGAGGCTGATAGGAGGCAAAAAATGCGCCAATAACAGGACAAGAGTGACAGGGATATTTTTTGGTGGGCAATCAGGTGCTGAGCCACCTTGGCTAAGATCATGGTCGGTTGTTAAAAATAGTGTCTCAGGTGCCGAAAATACACATTCGGGAGGTACATGTAGTCAACATGGTACCGGTGTCTACATCATGTAGACAACTTTCAAGTTATTGTTCCAGTTGAAGCTGTCAGTGCTAAACCTTTGAAGGACATACCTTTATATTTTTTTTTTATATTATAACTTTAAATCTTTTCATCTCTACAATTTATTTATTTATTTATTTATTTATTTCATTTTCCGGGATATTACAAACAGTGAATCATAGACAAAGCAATTACATATATACAAATAACACTGAGTAGTAAACATAACAGAAAACATAACAGAAAACAACACCCAAAAAGCTCCTGCAGGATTACCCAAAAGAAACAAGTTTCTGTCGAGGGGCTCTCCAAACTAATTGGATAACAGTGATTAATACATTTAGGATAAAATTCATTAAATAAAATATTTATAAAATTAAGCAGTTATGCAAAATATAGTTAAAAATATGGGGAGTACCCTCAGGCCCTGGTGTTTTTAATGCTGATTTCAAGTACATCTGTACAGTGTAAATCTGTGCAGTGCATACATGTGCAACAACTCTATCCATTAATGTAAACGTACATGATCATGATTGTACCTATTTGGGCATTTGCAGATATTACGATAACATTAACCACCATGTTGGATACATGTAGATGTACCGGTAGTACACTGGCACTGGTGGGCTTGTCTAGAGTGGTACCAGTTTGGCACATGTACCGGTACATACATGTACATTGGTCATGTTGGCAACCAGTTAAAGGTCGCTGTTGGATAACATGTTAATGATGTAGATTTGCTGTTATAACGTGTATGTGGTTGTGTTGTTTGCTGAATTATAGTGTGGCTCTAGGACCTATACATTCGTGACATTATCATGCTTGCGCAAAATCCACTTTGGAAATTGTATGGTTGTTTATTGCCCACAGAGCACCCATTAGTTCCTGCCATTGGGGATACAATAAAGATTATGGGGCACTTGGGGTATAATGTTGTTTGTAACTCATGCGCATACATGTACATTGTCAACCCCAAAATATACAGGAGCAGTACAACTACAAGCCTGTTTTGCATGCACAAAAACAATATATGCACCAACATTTACAGGCCTGCATACATGCAGCTGTGTTATGGCTTGAACAGTAAATGGACGACTCACATGATGCACTGCGCATGCACTTGTTTGCAGGTGAATAAATAGTCACAATTAATTTTCATTTGAATGTGCACAAATGTGTAAGCCTACTTCTTGTGTGTTTACTTTGGTATATCGTGCTTGGTTGCAACATTGGCATTAAAGTATCTGTTACATGTATGTATCCCTTCTGTTGTCACTGTTGAGAGAGTTTTGCACAAATCTCATTGGCCAGTGTAATAGTTGAGTTTATCACAAGCCCCTCGCATCTGAATCACAAGTCACCCAGTCCCACTCCCAGTCAAGTCGCACGCTTTTTCAATAAACTTTGTCAAAGGAAACCTTTTGTTCTTGTTAATTCATTCCATGTTACTTGTGATTTTTGTTTATTCAGAGAGACTTGTGATTGACCAACCACACCAGTAGTGTCATAAGGGCTTCCATTGTATAAAAAAAAAGAAATGGGTTAAGGTTTTATAGTGGCTGTTTTAATTTGGGCTGCGAGGCTGTAGTGTAAAGAGACAGTTGATGCTAAAACCATTTGAGATTAAAGTTTGGTAAAAGGAAAACAAATACAATACCAAACCATTCAAAACAGAGTGCAAAACATTCCAATTAATGAGCACAGAGTTTGATTCATTGCTAACATTTACACTATTAGAGCATTGGTGAATAATTCATTCACATAATGATCATCAGGTCAAAACTAATAATATAAACTGGGTCCTAAAAATATACAAGAATAGATCTCTGAAACCCTCACTTACGTCATGCTTACGTTAACTGATTGATTCATTGATTCATTGCTATGACATTTACAGCATAACTCATTCAGGTAATGGTCTGATCAAAACTAATATGATATAAACTGGGGCTTAAAAATATACAATCTACATGTACGAGAATAAACTCTCACTTTTTCAAGTACAAGTTAACTCTGTCATTTATAAATGGTACACTACAAATCTCCCCGGTAAACAAACCATGACCCATGTACAATTTGCTGTGGTACATACATGTACGGTAACCACCTGTTACCACTGCCTCCCTGCCATCCCTTGGTTTTGTTGGTCTGTACTTGCTCTATGGTCTGACTCTGCTACACTGTTGGAGAGGATCAGAGTCCCCCTTGTTTAACATTTTATAACCTGTACAGTGGTTTATTGATATTACGCCCAATTTGTCTTCATGGGATTTGACAGACCATCTCCATCAAAGGCAGCAAGCCGGGCTGCTGGCTCATCACTGGCTGTGTTTCCCATCATCACTTGATGCCAGCTTCACTAACATGACACCGAGTATTATTAATTGCTAATCTTTGACCTATGTGTAAACCCAGCATTAAATGGCCACGCATGCAAATATTTAAGGTACGCAGGGCTTTCACTTTTAATTTGATATAAAAGAAATGGGTCGGGTGATACACATAGATGAAGTTACATACATTTCTTAAAGCAAATGTGGAATATTTATGTTGGGATTGTTTTTGTTATGTTTTGTGTTGTTTGTTTTTCCTCAGGAATTCTTTAGTTCAAAGTTGACAAGGCTTGAAGCACTGCATACCGCATCCTGCATACCACAATTTAATTAGTTTTTTCTTAGAAGTCAAAATTTCCATTTTTGCCAGTGTCTGTCTAAAAATGTGTAATTTTTTTTCCTTCTTTTCACGTACCCTGGTTGGGTGTTTTACACTTTGAGTAGATGGTTCTGTTTACTCAAGTTCATCAACTCTTCCGGCCATGGGTTTTCCACACCTGGCCCCAAAAAATTAATGATCAAAAGGCTGTTGCCACACTGCCCTCTTGTGGTACATTCAGTTTGTTGTTCTCTGCCACTTCCATACAATGTCAAAGGTCACCATGCAACTGTCCCACCAATCCCAACCTCATCCCCCGGGCTTACCGGTACCTTATTTCCATCCTCATTCCAATTAAAGCCCTGGGTGGGAAAGTTGCTTCCTGTATAATGATTTGATACTGAAATACCAATGTGCATTATGCACCGGTATTTTATATAATAATATAATAATAACGTCCCCTCCACCTCAAAAACAATTTCCCTTTCTATTTTGCTTATAATAATTTGTAATGTCATACTGCAGATTGATATTTCACTTCGAAAAAAATGTGTGTTTTTGTAACTGCACGCCGCGACGACTTGATTCTGTTTTTACCCCAGACACCGCATACAAAAACAAACAGCCAGGCACTAGACTATTCCTTATTTGCATAGATATCCAAAAATTGTTGATATATGCAAACGATTCAAGTCAACACTAGGGTGAGGGAGCAGGTTGTGGTGGAAGCATACTGCTCAACACCATGGGAACGAGGTTGCACCAATCCAGTCCCAGGAATGGTACTGAACATCTTGAGTAGAATTAACATTCCATGTGTTGTCAGTCTTTGCTTACAGTTACACTGACTTGGTTTTTCACACTGTCTGAATCAAAGAACAGCCTTACAATCACTCATTTGCATTCATGAATGTTATTTAAAAGCTAACATGAAAGCTAACACCAATGTGCATCTGATTGAGTTATGCGAGAAAAGCCATTCAACAACGTTTTTTTCTCAAGGCATTTTGGGTCTTAACTAATTTCCTAAACGTCGTCCTCCAAATCATCCTTCCTGGAAAGAGTGTTGTCTGCAGATTGTGATAGGGGGCCAGACATCAGTAGTGCTCATTCTGGCACATGCACTCGTGTATCACATGAGTTCATGTGTTACAAGTAATTTACAGAAAATCCATCAACTCTAGTACTTCCCAGAGTTGTCTCGGAAACTGTTTGTGCAGAAGGGGTGTACCAGTCAGGCAAATATATATGCAATATCTTTACTTTTTCTTCATGCGTGGTAAAAAAAGTTAATCAGGGCTAAGTAGTGATTGCAGGGCTACAATGGACATAACTTCAGAGAGGGAGCTCTATCAAAAACACACAAACTCATGTTCGATTGATACATGTAGAAAGCATCCTTAAACAACTGCATTGCCGCTCCCTTTATAACAGGTAAAAATGTTAATGCATCTGACATCTTGAATTGTACATGTACATATACTTCGTGCGCACAGGCCTCCATTATCATATCCACCTGGATTTTAGGGTCCATGCATGTACTCAAACATCCTCTACATACACATCCACTTGAGAGTCCAGTTAAAGACCAGGGCAAACATCAACCAGGGAACAGAGTCACTTTTCACAAAAGAAATTCCAGTGGCATTGTTACTTGTTCTGTTGCCTTCTCTTCCCCTCATCCTTTTAATGGAATCGTCTTATTCATCCTTCCCAATCTCAGCTTCTCTCCCTCGCAATTCCAATCCTCTATTGGGGTCATTATCCCATCTTAAGTTTATATAACTAGTAAAGATCCCTCAGAGCCAATCTTGTCTGCATAAAATCTGTTCACTTGGCTTGTAGACTCCGAGGTAGGGCTTCCTATTATTGTCTCTCTCTGAGGGCTAGTGCGAAAGACTGGCCTCTTTACATTACGGCTAGGATTTGAGGATGAGGCTTGGGCAGCCATGACTGGAGCACGAGCTTCGTGCATGACTAACTGAAGGGGTTCCACCACCCTGATAATGAGTTTTTAATCTTTGCCAAGCTCATTGAGGGAATGGACGTACATGAACGTGTTACCAGAGTGACTAAGCAGTTCATCCATGCTTCCTGCACTCGACTCCTAGACCTTTGGTACAAGACCTGATGACTTCCAGCTTATTTGATACCAGTGCATGTTTGACAGCTACAGTATAAGGACATGTTTATGTACTGTGCAAGACTCCTCACTGTGGCATTTAATCAAGGGATATGGACCAGATTTCGGACTGATGGGATGGAATTTTATCTGAAAACTGCGTTGGATGCCTGTTGAATTATTCAGTTGTTCCTGGAAGGGATTTGTGAAGAGTAGGGAGCGGAGCCACTGCAATGAGAGTTTGAATACCATTTAGTGTCATATGTTTCACAGAAATCCTGACCCATGGGATTTGAAAGAGGGAACTTTTGTTTGGTTTCTTTTATAGGACTATTCCCTCCAGTGAAGCCACAATCTTGTCTATAGTTGTCTGAATTGCCCACTAGAGAGTAGAAAAGAAAGAAAAATATTTCTTTGTAGTTGGCTGTAAGGACTCTCAGACTCAGACAGTCATGACAGCCATGAATAAATGTGGTTAACTGAAGAGGGTCATGGCTGCTTTATACTAGGTACCCACACTGTGGCAAACGAGCTTCATCAAGGTTTTTTGCCATTGTGAATTGCGCTTAGAATTATCAAAGAACTTAATCTGTACCTGATTCTGACCTTCAGAAACAAGCCACGGACAAATTACTTTTTTTGTGAATTCTGTAAGAGCTTCAGACACTTATCAGTAGTCCTGTGATGTATGTATGTATTCAGTGGCAACAGCAACATAAACAAAACACTGACTATTTATTTGATGCTGTAGAAGCACCCCATGCCTGGTCCTGCGTTGATTTTTTCCACTGGAAACTTGCTGCGATACAGATAAATGCAACGATTGCGGCTTTTTATATTGGCTTCTCATTTGTTGCCAAGCAGACAGAGACCTGTGAACTTTGTCCCTGTGCGAGCAGGGAGATGCTGACTAGCCCGATTTACCTATGAATGGAGCAAAAGCCTGACAGGAATGCCTGCATGTAAGTACTAAATGATAAGGAATACCAACAGGATTACTGGCAAATTTATTATTATTACATGTTTAAGTCAGCCTGAAGGTCGAATTTGACAAGAGTCAGTGAAATCCTGACTGAAATGTTCTTAATGAGGTGGTATTTTTTGTGTACCGGTATCTTTGAAATCTGTTCCCTCAAAATGAGTAGAAGCGATCAAACTGTTAAATCATTGATTAAACAGTACAATAGACTTTTCTATTCATGCCGCCATGTTTGTTTACGTTATACAGTATGCCTCACTTTGATTTTCAAGATGGCGTACCCTGAGAAAGGTCTTGAATCTCACATTTTTCACTTCTCAAGTCAGGTAGAAAAAGGAACTCAAAGTGTCTTTTTCATGGAAAAGTACTTGTCATTCATTCACTGTGTTGAATCCGATAAGACTGGTGACATTTTATTTTTGGCATTTTTCACAATGGACAAACTAAGTCTGGCACATTCTTTATCATGGTCGTTGCACTCTGGGCATCACTGCATAGATACTTAAGCAGGGATTTCAACCCCCTCAAGATGATCTTTGACTCTTCGCCAGTACCCCGCAACTCAGCTTTAACATAGATGCCTGAAAAAAATCCCAGAGATATCCCAGCCCACTGGGGATCGGTGGCATGTTGGTTAGGTTGGGCCTGCCCTGTGTGAATGTCTTGGAACAGACATGTGGTTACTATGGCGATGGGTACACAACAAGACACATGTTGCACCATTCATGGAACCTGGAATGCAGGTTCATTGGTAAATGTATGGGAAAATCCTGGACATGAAACTTAAAGACATTAGGGACTACAGTGCTAGCATGAAAGACATACATGTACATGTTCTGGTATGTACGTACAGTAGATTGGCGATGTTGCAAATTGTATCGATACTTTGTGGTTGGGCTCCTTGAAGGAGCTTAATAGGAAGCAAGAACCTAGCTTCGCTCTGCCATCTTCACATAATGAGCCACCCCCAACCTTCCACACAACACAAAAGAAGAAGAGAATTAATTGATAAAATCAAATTTTAAGCACAACTGAAATGATTTATACAGAAAAGGACATTGCCATTCTAAAAATATAAAGTTGAGTAATACCAACAAACAATTAAAGGCGGCACAGGTATTGCCCCAAAACTACAAGTGATACCCTGTGGAATTTTAATACCACAACAGGTTCACTTAATTTGGTCACATGTGATTTGGTCAACTTTTACAAATCTTTATAATTGAAAATCCGGTTTGAAATGAGAAAGGTCGTAGTGTATGTACATGAATGTATTGTGCTTATTTTTGGAATTCCAAATGTGCATTCATTTGTAGCACCTCTTTTATCAAACTATTGTGAGTAGACTGTATTCTGAATCTACCTTCTGGCTTGCCCGGTTGTTGTGTTAAGCTGACTCATATGAGGAAGTAAAAATGTATTTAGTGCATGCAAACAAATTCAATACAGTGATAGTGTTGCCGTTTTGACAACCTACCGGTACCTGTATCCTACATGTACTATAAAAGCCCCTGAAAGTTGAATAAACCATTTTTTGTCACACACCAGGAAAGAACTGCTGTTTGTGTGCAGTGTATTATGGACAGTTACTCTGAACTATCAGAGGTTTGACCATCCTGTCTGAGATCTTTCCCTTTGAAGGTCTTTTGGGCAATTATGAACCTGAACTCCCACAAGTCTTGTTGATTTCTGTGTTGCTGCCAGCCAACTTTGATAAACAAACTGAAGTACATGTAATAGGATGAGACACAAAGCTATAAATGGTCAGGAGTTTTTCTCTACGAAGAAACGCTAGCAGGATGCACAACAGGTCTATAGAATATAGCAGAAACAAGCTACATGTACATGTACCGGTATGAGGATTTGTAACTGCATGTGCCAGAGTTGGAACCTGAGACCATTGGAGTGCCATACCAGTCATCGATCACGATCATCATAACCAAGAAATTTGCCACGGGTCCTGCAGTGTGTGTAGCAACATTGTATCATTGTTTAAAAAAAAACAGGGAGTTGGACCTGTATCAGAAGCATTGTAATACACAGGAAACTGAAGATTGCCGTTTCAGTCTTTGAACTCCTGGCTAAGACCATGCGTAGCAGCAAGTACACACTGATTCTTGACGCAGAGAAGAGAAGGCTACAGGACTTCATGAAGATGAGGTTTTTAGACTGTCTTTATTCTGACAAGGGAGGTGTATCACTCCAGGCATATCGTTCACTGACTGATGACATACAGGGTAGGCACAATACAATGTCTCCATCTCAACATTGTAGAGGCAAGTTGATGCCATCAAAATTCTGTCTTATTATGGTTGCATAAAAAAACTTTAACTTCTTTATTCAAGTATGCTGATGCACTGTTTAATGTTGTCGGATGGTGGAAACAGTCCATTATTTACTATTCATACCGGTAAGATGAATCTGCGTCGAGGTGTTGTAAATCAACATTAGGTTTTTGCCCTTCAACGTATAAACACCGTATACTCAGTGTGTTACCTGAGTCCATTATTTAGTTGCCATTAAAAACATTTGTTGTGAATTTCTTCAGAATTACATGTAAGGATTTTCCCTACTGTAATTTTGTTGTAGATGAAGGAAATCATATTCATGACACTGTCCTTTGTATCAAATACTAAAATATTCATGGCAAAGTTCCCTTAGTTTGAAATTTGATACCATTGTGTACGATTGGTGGTCATGTAAACCAGACAGCAATTTCTGCGTAGGCTGGTTCCGGTTCCCAGAAATGTACAGTTACCGGTACATGTAGGATTGTAAATACCAAATATTGTTCCAAAATGTTACTGTACATGTGTACTAGAGGGTTACAAGGTGTGGTCTACTCAACAAAGTGAGTTCACTTCCATGCAACATGATGGTTTGCATGTCCCATGCTGGTCAAGCGTGGTGCACAAATGACACAAGTGTTACAAGACCAATTTTCATCCGAATTGCACAGAATCATGGCATCCCTTGTGCACTGTTCAGAAATTATTGTAGCCATGATGCAGCGTTCTTATTTTTACCCATTTTTTCTGTGCTTTCCTCAGCGGACAAGGGTAAAGAAGAGGTCATTCAAGTGATCACCAGCGAGCTGGTGGCTCTGAAGGAATCCAATACCCGCCACAGTAAGCCGGTCAAGACCAGCAGCACGCAAACAGTGAGTAAAACAGCTCTTATCCAACCCAGTTGAAGTATGCAAATACTTAATTGTAGTCTGAATTTCATGGTTCTGGTTTCCAAAAAAAAGAATCTATGCATATTAAAGCCCCGAATTGCCCTCAGACAGACTAGCTTGTGAATGTGAAGCAAATTGCTGAAGTGAAACATCGGCAGCAAGATTTGCCAGAGTTGAAATGTGTTCAACTATTTGGTATTTGTGTTAAGTATGAACTGCTCTTTATGGGTTTGCAAGAAATTTTAGCTTAGTGCATGCATGCTTATAAATACATTGTACATATGTAGGCTTTGCAAAACTTTCAGTGCTAGCATTTAATCATCTACATGTACTTTGTGAGTGCAGAATTCTGTGGTTAGCGGAGCCATGAAATTGTATTTTTTCAATCTATAGGCTTCTGCCATTGTGTTTAACATTTCTTCAGTGAACAGAAGATCCACACTTTAAGTGGATCTTGAGAAGCAGACAAAACACATCTCGTCTCAAAGGCTCAAAAATGAATTCTTAGCTTGACAATGTCAGAAGGTCACACAGCTTAGAGTTCAACAACTTGGTGTCCTGAGATTGAGGTCACAGGCTCCTGTTCTGTTTTACTTTTACCATGCCACAGTTTCACTTACATTTTAATTACAGAATCAAAAAGATTTTTAAGCTTTTCTTAAAATGTGTGATTAATTGTCACACTGAAGTACCAGTACACAAAGATGTTGTTCTCTGTCCAAGCAAAGACAACCTTGATTGACACAATTTACCACAAAACAAATTGATCATGCCACTGTAATGGACAATAATCAATATCTGTGTGGATATCAGAGGAATACTTTTGTACATGTCACATCATCCTTTCCCAACTGAAAATCTTTCCAACTTTGGCCTTCCCATGGATAGGAACTATAGCACCTAGAGGTCAAATCCAACTGTGTTGGTCCTTGTACTAATCGCTGGGCTGTGGAGCGTAGAAAACTATGAAATCCATGGGTTTTGTGGCCCATGGAGTGTCTATTGGAATGGTGTGAACCGGAATGTACATGTAATAAGGATCATGGCTAGCAAAGATTCCCTGCTGGGGCATTATGCTTGGCTCATTTGCCCCATTTATCCTGGCAAGGTTACTTTTTCCTGAGGTACAATCTACCATGAATGTATTGTTGGGTTGGTGCCAGGCATTCTTGTGTGACAAAATGCTAGGATTAAGTTGTTCACTGTGTTTAGGAGATTGTTTGTTCCGTGATGTGTGTGTTGGTCTGTTTGTCCACCATTCTCACATCAGTTGTGGCTGCTGTTGGTGTAATTTCCATTTTGGCTCTGACAGTGTTTGTTAATGCTACACTTTTTAGTCCTGTCATTTTGTGAAGTTTAAATCCATTAAAACTCTAAGATCATTTAATTCATTACTTTGTGTGTTTGTAATGCAGTATGTAAATGGTCCGTCTTCTTGTTTGACAAATTTGTTTAATTGTCCATAAATGCGAATACCAACTTGTTTACGTCTGTTTCTCATTCCAAAATACATTTACCCTAAAAAAAAACTTTTTGTGTATATTTTGCCAGTTTGAAAAAAAGAGTGATTTTATAGTTTCCTTTGCAATTGCTCTCCCGCAAATTTTTTTTGAATTGAACACGCCCCCTTTTCACTGCAATTTCCCTTTACTCAGTCAATTACTTGCATAGGCCTACCTGTACAGTGGATGTACGGTATGTGAAATGCCCTTGGGTGACATGATCCTTGATTGATTCATATTTCCACTAGTTACACACCAAGGTCTGCACATGAACATGTATGTAAATGTATGCACATGAATGTTAGCCAGAGTTTTCCGTCAAGGTCATTAATGCTTTCCCCGAGATATAGCACACTAATTGCATTGACTACATGTACATGTAGTGCTGTAAATCGATAGAACAATTTCATAGGAATACATGTGGGTCCATCACGGAAACACTGCTTCCGTTACATTGCTGTCCTGTCATGGAAATAATACATGTACTACATTGTGCGCCATACATGTATGTACATGTATTATGACCCAGTTTATGTACGGTACAAGAGGAATACGTGCAGTATCACTGATCGGTATTGTACATGTTATACACAAGAAAAAAAATTGCCCTTTTCAAGTGATAATCAACTTTGAACTTTGTCATGAATTTCTCACACAGTGACAGCCTGTTATGAGTATAAAAGTCAACACTGGATTGCAAACACATCTTCAGTGTCTCATTAGCCCACATGTTCGCGTACTTTAGTCACATGCGAGCCACTCCACTTATCAGTTGAGAGAAAGATCAGAAGTTAAAAAGTCTCAATAGTAATGAGTTGGCTGGTCCTGATTCACTGATGTACCGCAAAGCAAACCAAAATGATACTGATTAAATTCTAATTTGCAAACAAAGGACCTATTTATGGACTCTTCCACAAACCAATTTTGAATGAGGGTTCATGTGGAAATCGCAAGTCCTGGATATTTTTTGTTAAATTGGACACCTGCAATAGTGATGGAGAAAATCAGTCACACCAAACATGTTACATGTAAAAACCAAACCTAAAACATATTAATAGGTTTGGTCTGGAGTGATTTTTTTCCCAAAAAAAATTCTTTGGTTGATCCTTTTTTAAATTTCTGTGTCATTGTATTTTGAAAAACTGAAAAAAAAAATTTCAGTGTGCTATTGTACCTCCAGGTTATCTTTTGAAATACATGTGCGTACCTTGTATCGCTTCCAGAAGGATACAACTTTTTTACTAGAGTATTGACTACTGTAGAACACATTCGTGCAATTTTCATTTTTGAAAAATGAAAATTGTTCAGATACAGAAGAGATGGCGGCCTTCTTGTATGTAAAGCCCTTTCACGAACCTGGTATACCGTCTATGGGCAGTTGCACCTACATTATAAGCACCTAGACCTCAGAATTCCCCCGCCCCCCACCTTTTTTACCGGTATGTACTAAAGGATGTTATTGCGGTGATTCCTCAGATAGAGTTTGCTCAAGCTCACAAAGCTCAGCCATCCTGGATTTGTTTGCCCAGCACACAGATCGAAAGATGCCGCTCTTTTCTCTGTTGTTATGACAAAATGGTTGTTTGACTGTCCACCTGGGGCACCATTGGGCCAATTGGATAAAAGAGGACATACATGCATTCATTTTTATTGCCAGATTCCATGCATGTATATCGTAAACTTCTCCAGTGTTGGGTCAACATCCTTTTGTCAGTCATTATAGGTATCTATAGAAAAACACACCATTAAGAGACATAACATTATTACAAAACTACCGTCACAAATTTGAAATGAGGTCATTTGTTGGGGAACTTATCCCATTGAGCTGGAGCTACATTTTGTTGTCTGTAGGCCGGGGCACTCATTAACAGGATCATAAGGTCTTTTATTGTTTAATGGTCCCATTACTTTGATGTAAAATGTTGACAAAATGTGTTCTTCTACATCATAGGTGTATAATGATCCAAAGTCTTTGAATATTATGTTTTAGTTTTTCATCTTTATAGGATTTTTATCATACCCTTTGGTGGTGGCGTAACTGTGTAATTGGAGTCACACTATTACTGATGCTTTGGTAATGGTGGTTGTGGCTCTTGCTACTTTGTGTGAACTGGTTTTTCTTCTTGAGGTCCCTCTAAAAGTAATGTGAAAATGTGATGACAATGCAGCTTGCATAATCAAACATTGACACCATGCTTGTCTTTCCACTTTGGCAGTCGATTGCCTGTTTGCCTCCGTGTACACCTCCATCTCCAACCTGCGACTACATGTACTTCTTTCTGTCCCCTACTCTCACATCTGCACTTCCTGTTTTGTCTCTTTTCCTACCACCTTGGTGAGGCCGAAAAACAAACCCAGCAAGCCCTCTTTTTTTCCACTCAAGCTGCAAAGCCAAGCGGCTCATTGATTCCTGTCTTTGTCAATTCCCACTCATCAACTTGTCAATCCTTTCACCTTTCACAAAGGACCACTTCCCAAAAATAAACCAATCAATATCATTGTTGGTGAGACAATTCCAATAAATACTGGTGCAATGGAAATACCTGACCAGATAGTGAAAATAAAATAAAAAAGGAAAGAAAAGATTTTTAAAAACCTGCCTTTAATGAGCCACTGTTGTGTGACATTCTGGTCCACTTCAGCAAACACCTGTAATTTTGTTTACTTTGCAACTCATTTAGGCCACCTTTCCTTTTTTTGGCAGGGGAGATCAGTAATTGATTTTTTAAGGGAGAGTATGTATTTTGCTAATCGTGAACAAACTTTGTAACCCACCTCTTGACATGCTTGACTTGAAGTGCAGTTTCAGTAGGCCACTAATTGCACTCAGAGGCATGGAAGGTTCCAGTTCAGTGGCAAGTTTCATGGTCATGCTGTTTTTTTTTAAATCATTTTCATGGTTGAAGTCGCCATAAAAAAAAATCCACCAAGTTTATACCGGTAAGTTAGTGGATGAGCATTTCCAGGCACAGTCCAGCCACTTTTACTTGAAGATGATGGGACTCATTGTCCATAGAAAACTGGTTGCACGCACAGTGGATGATGTTGAGTTCTAGCAATTTTGGGTTAAAAATGTCAGTTCTGCAAAGTTCTGTGTTTTTGGTAAATTCTTGAACATGCATGTAAATTGCATTTTGAGCGGTAAGAATGATCAAATCCCTTTAAAAATGCCCTCTAACCCACCTCCCCCAACTTCCCCCCCCCCCAAAAAAAATCCCCTCCTAAAGAAAGCACCAATAAACCCTCTTTTTAGAGTTGCCCCACGTTGACTTGTCTTCCACTCTCTGCTAGGCAAGACAGCCACGTACTTGTCGGTAAGCCAAATTGGGGGAAACATCTCGGCTCACACGGGATCCGACCATCAGAACGTTTGCCAAGACCCACAAGGGACCCGTCCAATTAGGGTCTTCCTTCCCCTTTTCTCATGCGCTCCCTTCAGTTTCCCCCCGTTTTTTTCCCCTCTCTTCTTTTACCGAACCTCAGGAACTGAGCCGAAACACACTACGAGTGTGCTAACTACTCGTGTCATTGGAATACTTCTCCTCAGAAATTTGGAGTACTTTGCCTGCGTAACAGCCTCTTTTTTTTTTCTTATCTACACACCTCATCAAGTCTGACAAAAAATTGGATGCGAAACGAATTACTTTGTTCAAGTGCTCTCTTTGTTACTATATACGGTGTATGCTCTAAAACAGAGTGCCATTCATATCCAGTGAAGGACAAGTTTTGTTGAAAAGGGATGTACGCTGTCTAACAAGGTTGTAAGTGTCAAAAGGAAATAAAATTATAATTTGACAAATTAAGAAACACACAGTGTTTGCTCCTTTGGGATCGCCTTGATTGGCTTGCGTGCGAAGACTGTCTCAGGGAGCTGTTACAGTTCCATGTCATTTGTTTGTTGAGAGAGCTCCATGAAAAAAATAACATTTTTTCTGTGCATATATATTTCTTTGCAGAATGAAGTTCGAGTCAAGTTTGAATACCAAGGCGAAAGGAGGTGAGTGTTCATTTCTCTGTATTGATCAGTTTCCAGTTGAGGTATTTGCTATTGTATTGATGTTTCATTAGTTTGGGATGACCCATCAAAAGCTATGAATTTATACCCCTCCCCCCTTTTCTTTTTTGCTGGGACCATTTCTGAAATTTAAAAAGTCTGTACTTTAACCTCCCACTTGACAACTTTTTGGACAGCAAGCCCATTGTCAGTGATGATTTTTGGCAGATGATGGTTCAGAGTAAAAGCTTGTCCATATCTATGCATCAAATATGGCGTACTTCTATTTTCCAAATTTGTTTATACATGTACATGTACAGTGTAAGGTGTGATTTAGAAGCATGAAATACCGGTACCTTTCCAATGTTACTGGACTTTATGGGTTTGATTAGCCATTGGCTATGTTACGCCGACCACATGCATGCAGATCATGTACACGTACATATGTACAATGTATGTGCATAGATTGACATACATGGTTCAAGCATTCTGCTGCTACATTCTGCTGTAACTCATACTTTGCAAACTGTGGACCAATTGTTTTCGTTCAATGCCATTTGGAAGCGACCAGGGTAGTGACTTACATAAAATAATTCTAAGAAATTGTCTTTTTGCCCTTGACATATATCCTGCCAGGATCAAAATGTCAGGCCCTTTTAGTTTTCTATAAGTTGTATATTTCAGGTCAATCTGTTTGCAGCAGTTTAATTCATTTTCATAAGAACTTACCAGTTCAATTTTAAACTTTGTCTGGCTGAAACATCCACAAGACCACAGAGAATTCCAACTTTAACTGAAAGCGGGACACATCATTCAGAAAATAGGGTGGGTTCAAGTGAGTGTACATTCTACAGTGTACCGGTACAAGCGTTAATGTGAACCTGTACACCAAGTCACAATATCCGAGTCCAAGTTTTGAGTTGAAGTTTGTCATTTTGACTGAGAATCATGCCAGATTCTTATGTGAATAGAGTCATGTCACTGCAGGACGAGTTGACATACGTGTTGGTTCAAAAATTTAAATGAGCATGAAGTTCGCAAATATCACCATAAAATTAGCACTTTGCCATCAGTATTAGGCCTAGTATTATGTAGGAGTCAGTTTTCTTGTAAATAAGGATGTGCTTCAGACGAAACATTAATTTTTATGAGCCCTAATTTTTACGTTATACTTTTTTTCACACTTGAGTTTTTGTTGCATTATGTGAGGGAGTTGTTCACATCATTGAAACTTAGGAAATTACCAACCATGTAAGGGTGCCGCGAACAGAGCAGGCGACAATAAGGATGTGTTTTGAGACATAACACCTGTCAAGCTTTGAGCTGATCCGGGGAGCAATCCATTACTTCTAACTTTCCTCTTTTTTGTTATTTCCACCCCAAGGATATTGCAAGTTCCTCGACCCCTGAACTACAATGACCTCTTGACTAAAGCCAGGATGGCCTACGGGGTTCCCGTAGACATGCACTACACCACAAATGATGTCAACTCAAACGTGAGTATATTACTCAGAAAACTTTAGGGAGCTTTTGGTTCCCCTCAATGTATCCGAGACCATTGAGGGCGCCTTTGTAGCCGACTTGTGACACCCACGTGAAGTCGCTTTGTTGACTCTTGCAACTCATTGAAACTAATTTGTGCACCTCAGTGTCAATATCTACACCCAAATAATACAGAGTGCGCTTTTGAAGTTTGTAACATTTGACATAATAAGATAAATTGTTGCAGTAGCACCATGTGGTAAAATCTCTTTTTGTGAGTATACGTGGTTCTGAAAAGAACCGGAGGGTACTCAACATTTCGGACAGTATGCTCTGCCCATTGTCAGGAGACTCTGACGACAGTCTCCTGATGATGGGCAGAGCATACTGTCCGAAACGTTGAGTGCCCTCCGGTTCTTTTCAGAACCACACATACTCACAAAAGGAGATTTTGCCACATGGTGCTACCGCAACAACTTATCTCATTTTTACTCTTTCACATTGTAATGATAAAAAAAATTTTGCCAGTATGAACAAAAGCTAAATAAATCCACAGTTTAACACATTGTCCCACTTGGGAGAATTACTGCATCCCAGTACATGCACATAGTCATTTTGTATCATCACATTTATTTTTTGCTTTGCATTCTTATTATGTGTGAACCAGCTCTAACACTGGACAAATATTTGAATTAATTTCATCTTAAGGCACAATTGTAACTGCACATTGAGCAAATACCTCTTCACTTTGTGCCTATTTGCTCAAATTTGAAGGGAGAAAGGGAACCCTGTAAAATAACTTGCTCAAGAACACAAGCACTATGGTTTCTTTGCGTCCAACAGATTGTTGTCCCTATCAAGAGCCAAACCAACCTCAATCAGGCTGTGGCGTTGATGGACCACAACCCCAACGCCAAGAGCCTCCGCGTCTACTTAACGCCAATTCAAACGGGTACCAGCAGCACAGCACTCACTGTTACCACAGGGGCACCACACCGGGCCTTTTCGTCGCCAGAGATTGTGTCGTCAGGGTCAGTCACCTATCACGAGAGAGGAGAGCTCTACGATACAGCTGTGAGTGGTCTCTATGCAATCGTATAATTCGTTTTGTAGCACAGGTATCTTTGAAACTCAATGTCCAAAGTGTAGGGGTGCACCTCTATTATTTGGTATGGTAGGTGCGAACAAAACATTACATGTTGTTGCATCCAAAATAATGATACATTCACAGGGTAAACGTTGATTGGACACCTTTCACCAAATGGAGTTTGTAATATCTTGCATTGGGGAGAATTGTTTATAAAGTAAACTCCAATTTTAATAATTATTTACTGGGGGTTTATGTGGGATTCGAACCTCCCATCTCAGCCGTGTGAAACTACACTGGTTTTTACCTCTGTCTTCTTTTTTTTACACAGATCCGCAGTGACACTGCCCACAAGCCCACAACATTACGCTCCCAGTCCATTCCCCAGGCGCCAGTGCACAAGGTGCAGAACCAAACCAAGCGACATTCCACACCTATCGAGATGCCTGCCCGCGACACACCTTCCCCACCCCCAGGCCACATACCCACAGATTCCATGCAGAACATCATTCGAGACTCAACCTGTGGGGAGGGGCGGTTCATCCCAGAACCAGAATCAGAGGTAGGTATAAGGGCTGGTGCTGGTGGAGAGGTACAAGTCCTTACAGTTCAAAGACAAGTCAGTCATTCGTCATCAAGCCAACTGACAAGCTATTCGCATGAATTGTGACGAAAGCATTCCTTTGTCTTTGTTCGTTTCCTTGTTGCACTTGACCTGACTTGTGATTGCAATGGTGATAGACTTGACTTTACAATTCTTGCAACTAAAAACCAGGGCCCAATTTCTTGGCTCTGCTAACCACAGTATTCCATGCTTACGACCACAAAATTTGTGCTAATCGCACTAGCAGAAAAAATTCTGTGCTTACCCGTAAGCGCAGAATCCTTAGTAACAGGATATACGCATGCGCAGAAGCAAAAATCTTTGCTAACGCGTGAAATATGCTATAGTAAGCAGGGATTTTTCGGTAACGGTAAGAGGAGCAAAGAAATTGGGCCCAGGAATTTTGGGAAAAGTTAAAAAGGGTTTTTTGGGGTCATGGTTTTGACTATGATGGACATTTCTGTCAAAAGAGCTCTGTGTCTGTTATTCATATACACTGTCAAAATTAAATTGCATTTTTAACCTCAATACAATAGCAACTTAACTTTGTTGAAAGTAACCTAATGGCCATTTTATAGCGAGCCAAACGTTAGGGATAATAGGGATAGAAGTTGCATGGAGTACTAGAAATCACCATGTTCAAAATATTTGTCAAGCTTGTGCACAATACTGTCGAGGTGTTAATCCTTGTGTGTTCGTAGAAACTGAAATCACCTCACCCTGCAAAACAGGAAATGTGGGGAGGGCTTATTGCAGCCGACGGAATGTTTCGTAATCCAAGAATGTGGTCATTAAATGGTTGTTTTCCTACCCTGCCAAAATTCTCTCATTACCTAGAACTACATGTGCATGTAGCAGTATCTCAATGGAAATCAACAATTACCAATTTACTGCCTATTTCATTCATGCAGTTCGCTGGGCTTATTTTTTATTTTTATGGTGTCAGCCCTTTTTTAGGGGGGAGGACATTGAATACTTTGTGACGTTTATGAAAAGTTGGCGGGGTTACTAATTGGCATCCTTTCAATGTACTTTTTTCAAATGTCAGATTGTATTAAGTGTTTGTCAAACACACCGCTACACGTACTCAACCTTGAGATGTCAGTTATCAGGTGGGAATGGAGTCCTAAATATCCCTCTATAAAAAAATGAAACTGAGTTTGCACCCTTACTGGTTCTCGAAAATGCATTTCCACTTGTACATGTACATGTACACTGTCTCAGCAGCTTTGTAGGGAAACGCATTGGGCAGAATTTTATTATAAGGCCCTGTAATATCAAGCTTGTGTTTATGTGATACGCAGCGAGGACACAGACTGGGCGAAATAATTTTGAGAGAAATAAAAAAAAAAGTAGGGAGTAACACATTTCTTCGGGATAAGGAATGGTTGAAATTTGGGGAGAAAAATGGGTTGAATTTGGATTATTTGATAATGGGAACATGTTTTGCTCAAGTTTACTCTGATTTTTTGTTGGGTGATTACTATTTGTTCCCCTAGTTTTTTAGGGGGGGGGGGGGCAAAATTTCAACAAATAGCAATTTTGAAATTACCCCTAGGTCTTGAAAACTTGCAAATAAATTTGCATTATTTTCAATCCTGTTTTTTTTTTATTCCCTTTCCTCAGCAACAAGATCATGTGATTATCAGCAGTCCTAATGGCAGCCACCAGTCACTAGATAAGCCTTACTATGGTGGAAGCCAATCCTTAGGCAGGTGAGTGACCTTTGACCTGTCAACCAGCAAGGAAATTATCGGCTACTTCATGTAGACTGAGAATGTTTCACCAGACAATTATTTTTGCTGTTATCTCTGAATTTTCAAAACGTACGCCCCATGCACAAGCAAGATTGGGGTTCTTGAGTATGTTGTGGAAACACCTCAACTGGGAATTTTTTTTTAGAAAGGGTGACCCCACAAAGTATAACTTTGCTAAATCTATAACAAACAACACAAGGGTTTGGGCTCCTCAGAACATTCAGTCAAGCAGTCATTTGTACGTAAAATTCGGGAGCCAAAGTATGTTGTTATAGTCAAATGTTCGGTATACATGTAGTGGTTTTTGGTATAATAGTAATCTACTGCAAGATGTGAAAGGAAATTTCTTGTGGGCGTTTATGTTCTTAGAAGATCTGGTGCAAAAACTTAACATTTTAGACAGTATGCTCTGCCTTTCATCAGCAGACATTACACCTGAGTTACTTCTTTTTTGCATTGTGAACAAGAATTTTGAACTTGATTTCATTTGAATGATAAGGAAGTGGGTCAGAAGTCGAAGCTGATGGCTGGAAATGAAATTTTCCATTAAATTATCAAGTAATTACATTTGGAAGTCATCTGGCCTGTACTTTTCTGGTCTGTAGAGCTGTGGTATTTGGTAGCATTATCTTTTCTGATGAAAGTGCTGTGTTGTTTTTACTTGAATCTTGTTGTAACCTTCTTTCCTAATTTTGTTTCCTAGTACAAGTGGTAGAATGTTCAGAGCACAAAGCACAACAAGCTATGACGAATTTTCAGGTGGGTAGAAAATATAATTAGTTTTGTAACATTGTTTTTGGAATCAATCATGTGCTGTTAGTTGGCTCTTTATTGCAAGATTATTTTGGAAGGATAGCTAGTCCTTGAGAAAAAGAATAGAACAAGATAATTAGGGTACTTCCGGGTATTTTGTGTGATGTTGTTATTCATTTTTCCATCCACATTGCTGCCAGAGGTGGCCAGAGCTAGAGGGCCTGCAGTGATCCCAGCATTTTGAAGTTTTCATTTTAATCTTTTTATGAAAATAATAATGGAAATTGAAGGTTTTAAGTTTTGATCATGCAGTTCAGAGCCAGAATTTTCAAGAAAAACCCTAGTTTATGCATGTTATAAGTATGACAATTGAGTATTTAAAAGAAAGATCACAATGTTTTGTGCAAACAGAATTGTTTCCTGAAAAAAAAAGGTGTGGTCATTGAAGAATCTAAGGGCATAAGTGATGAAAAACGAATTCACATTTACAGGTTCACAGTATCCGGAGAGGTCTGGCAAGGGTGGGACGTTTCCAACAAGGTACAGCATGAGGAGCTCACAGACAGACATCGATGATGGTAAGCGGCAACAAATTGACCTACATTTTACAATGTATTATCTGTGGCATAAACATTGTCAAAAGAATATTTCAAGTTTTTGATTCCTAGCAGGTGTCATTGTGTGCGGCGAGCTAGTCCCGTTTAACATTGCTCCTGGGCATCATCACATTTGGAAAAAATAATCCTCTGAATGCTACCCTTTTTCGTTAGGTCGTAAAACATTCCCCAGCCGGTCCCGGCGGCCCCAGCTCAGCCCCAGCCTGATGAACCCGGACGAGCGGGACTATAGCCCCCATGGCAGCGAGCACTCGCTCAGCAAGAGCAGCAGTAGCAGCGGCATTGGGGCTGATTTTGACACGCTGGACAGCCGGCGGCGACGGGACAGCGAGCTAGAGCACTCCATCAAGTCACTGCAAGAGATGGGCTTCAAGGAAGGCACCAAATGTGAGACCATGATGTGTATGTCTGCTTCTTCTCTGTCTGTTACGCTTTTTGCCCTTTTTTGGTAGGGGGAGTTGGGCTATGGTGTAGTCAAGTCCATCACAATTCCAGTCAAACGTAACAAGGGATTTATAGTATCAAATAAATGCCTTTGTTACAGTCTTGGGTTTGAGTCCCACCCGAGTAGCTTATATGAAGTTTGTTCTCACAATCACTCGGGACAACACTGAGTATACAGTGTTACCAAAAATATGTCGGTGAAGGGCAAAACCTAATATTGAATTTGTCACAGTTCATATGAATATCTTGTGAATTGACTTGATAAAGGATGACTTGTGATTGGCTTGCACAAGCTATAAATGGAGTTGAAATGCATATGGTTTACAGATGCTATTAACACTTTCCTTTGCTGTAATCTTTATAACATCTATTGAGACTAATGCATTAACTCTGGAAAATGTCTAAGACATCAAGATGCAAACATTGGAATAATGCAATATATTTTTACATGTAATTATAATGGGCCTGTCTCCTCCAATAATGATGGGTTCTTAATGGTTAATACAGGCCATGATTTGATTCATTTATGCATAGAGCTAAAAAGGCAATACAGGATCTACATTGCTTCCAGTAAAATGACTTGCTCAAGGACATACCGGTACACACATCACCATTAGGCCCCCCAAAAAAGTCTCCGGTTTCTGGTATGCACGTGCGTCGCCGTAGCCATGCGCATCGGCAAAATGAAAAAGTTTTTTTCGATGAAAGATGATGTCTCAAAACCGCCAAACTCACTGGTTTGAATGGAATCCTGCTGCTGCACAATTTTAATGTGTTTTTAGATGGGGTTACAATCGAGAATAAGCTTTATGTGGCCTCTCTGGACTCCCATGTATTTGCACTAAGTTTAGTCGGGCACCATTTACAGTCATCAGCCGACATTTGAAGAAGAAAAACGGGGAGAAAAAAAAAAAAACGCATCGCCGCACCACTTTTTGGGCAAGCTCCATACCAGAAACTGGAGCCTTTTTTTTGTTGCATTATCATGATTATGATATCGGGGCTGATATCAGCCATACAGCACTTGATCACAAATCAAGAACATGTGTCAATGTTTAAACATCTGAGATGTACTGTGAGACTGTGAGTATGATTCAAGTATTTGACCGACTTTTTCATGTCTTTGCTTTGCAGCACCTCGGGCGCCGGTCAACTGGCGTAAAGGCAAGATCCTGGGTCAGGGGGCATTCGGGGTCGTTTACCTCTGCTATGATGCCGACACAGGCAGGGAGTTGGCTGTGAAGCAGGTCCCACTGGACAATTCCAACACAGAAGCTAGAAAGGTGGGTTACTGCAAGAGCAGATGGAGAGAGGGTAGTAGGGGTGGCTTATCACCAAACTTGCCAGAGTAAACAGAGGAAAGCCCCCAAAAGTGCTACTTGTAAACTACATTTTACTGACTGAGTCTTTAAGAGCAAATAGCCAAAAAAGTACATTTGGCAGGCAAAACACATCTTGCAGATATTGAATTCCAAAAGGCTTCACAGAAACTTCATAAATCATTCTATCATATAGTTTGTATGAAAATGTCAATTTTCCTTGAACTAATGTCTAAGAAATTAGCTTCAAGTTGAAATTCCTGCCGTTTCATTGAAGTAAAAAAAAATTTGGGAAAAGGTTTTATAACTTTTTTTTTATAACTTTGGGAAAAGGTTTTATAAATATTTGCAAAGATTCAATATCAATGGTCAATCTGATCGATTGAAGTATTGCTACTATTAAAATGTTGATTCAGCATTATGAAACCATGCCTTTAGCTTGAGATAAAATGCAAATTATGCATGAGGTGTGTGGCTTTAAGTGAAACATAACTGAAAGGAAAACAATCAAAGCAAATACATTTCAATTTCCTTTTTGAAAGGCGTTTTTCCTCTTAATTTGAAGTGTTTTTTTTTCCTTTCAAACTGAGCTTGACTCATTTTGCCCCTCTGTCTTTCCTTTTTTTGCAATCCAACAGGAAGTGAAAGCACTGAAATCAGAGATTGAGCTTTTGAGAAACCTTCACCATGAAAGAATAGTGCAGTACTTTGGGTGCTCAGAGGTTAAGGACGTTCTTTCCATCTTTATGGAGCTGATGCCAGGGGTAATAATTTCACCAAAACTTTGACCCTTACGAAAGTTACGAAAAACTCATTTTACAATACATATGTGGGGTCATGTTAGCATGAGGGAAATCCACGTGTGATTTCTGCAAGGCTGCAGAATACTTCATAGTGATACGATTTTGTGTGGTTTGCAAAAGTATCCAGAGAACCAGTTTGTGTTAGATGATATTTTGGCCGAGCAGATGATGTTTTTTCAAAGAGCTTACCAGCTCAATGATATTGGCCCATGCTTTCTTTTTCAGTTTAAGCACATTAGAGCATTCATTTTTCAAAGCCATTTCTGATTCTGAAAAATGAAAAATCCTTAGAATTTTACTGGAAGCATCCCTTTAGGTGCTTCAGCGTGATCTTCCATCACTGAAATACTCGTTCGATCTTAAAGACAGTGGGTGGCAATATAGGCTACTGAATTCTTAGTATAGTCTATAACATTTATTGTTTTGTTGTTTATATTTTTGTTGGGCCTGTTTTGAAATTACAGGGCTCAGTGAAGGACGAGCTGAGAAGTTACGGTGCACTGACGGAGAACGTTACAAGAAAATACACACGGCAAATCCTGGAAGGGGTTGCCTATCTTCACACTAGTCATATTGTACATAGAGATATCAAAGGTAAAATTTTAATTACTTCTTCTAATAATATGTACATTGCACAACCTTAGGCAAGGTGAAAAAGACTCTAATAAGGCTTCATGATTCAGTTCAGGCTTAATATTCAGTATAACGGCACTATAATGCATACTGAACACTGGGGTTGACCAAAAATAGCTCTAACACATGATCACTATACCAAATAATATTGTGTGCATCCCATTATATTCATTAGTATGATGTTCTGCTATACTTTTCTGGCAAGGTCAAGAGCTCTCAGACATTTGTTGGTTAACTGAAATGCCATTGATTTATTCAGTTCCATGCCATCTTTCGATTGGTCGTAACTAACGTGGAATGAAAAATGACAAAAGAAATGCTTTTGTCCCAGTTCATTAGTTTAGCTTGCCTCTTGACTTTAATTGGAGGACTTGTGATTGACTTGTAAATTACTTGATGACAACTCTGTTCTTTTTATTAGGCTGCTGGCTGAACATTTTGCACAATTCCTGAAGTTTCTTGTGGTTTCATGTTGTATCTTTCTCTGTTCCTTGTTTTTTTTTTTCCCCAATCAGGTGCAAATATTCTGAGAGCGGGATCAGGGAATGTCAAGCTAGCCGACTTTGGCGCATCACGGCGGTTACAAACAATTGCGAGTTATGTGACGGGAATCAAGTCAGTGACGGGGACACCCTATTGGATGAGCCCAGAGGTCATCAATGGGGTCGGGTACGGCAGGAAAGCTGATGTCTGGTAGGTTAGATTTTGCAAAGGGGATATTGTAGTTCTAGGGTCAATTTGTTGGTGCTGTATGAGCTGTTCAAACTGTGCGTTCTATAGAATAAAAAATTGTGCTACATGTACTTACACCACGTATTTTGTGGTGTAAAGTTTGTATTTATTGCTTACAATGTATCCATGGAGATTTCCATCGTTGATGTCATTATAACAAAGTTTGCCTCTTATTAGGTAGTGTGCACTTAAATTTGCCTATATTTATTATAACCATGGTAAAATTGATAGAAGCAGAAAATTGTGTGCTTACCATGGCTATGAAATTGGGCCCAGATGATGCTCAGCAGAGATTTGTTCAGCAAAAACGGGTTACCTGCCATCATGTATATTTCTTGTGACTGGATTAGCAGATGATTTTTCGCTCAGCACGTAAATTTGCTAAACACTATTTTCTGCTTCTCAGATCCATGAAATTGTGCCATGGTCGCAGCAGAGACATTGGACCTCACAAAATCTTGAGATGGTCAAAACCCGCTAAACCTCATCTAAGCTGCAAAAATTGCCATGCGTGGAAACTTTGCTCAGCCAAAATGCCATTATGACAGGTTTCACCCTTGACTCGCAGCCGATTTCTTATAGTTTTTCTGCTTCATAAGATTGCGTCTGGATAGAAGCTTCTCACCTCAAATTTTTGTACATTTCTCCTTCTTTACTCTTATCAGGAGTGTTGGCTGCACAGTAGTAGAGATGCTGACGACCAAACCCCCTTGGGCAGACTACGAGGCAATGGCGGCCATCTTCAAAATCGCCACACAACCCACAATCCCCCAGCTGCCGAGCACGGTGTCGGACGTTGCAAGAGACTTCCTAAACCTCATGTTGATCCGAGATGCACAGCAAAGGCCCTGGGCCAGTGACCTGCTCAGGCACGAATTTGTGAACAGTTACTCCATCGATTGACATTGTTCAAGGAGGAAATGTAGCATCCGTTGCAAGGAGACTTTTTAAATGTAGACTTCAGTAGGCATTTCATTTTTGAAGAACATTTTTTTTTCTATCCACTGAGATGTGGTCGTTATTGAATTTGATGCAACAATGTGTATTCACATGCCTACATTAGTTTGTCTTTTTATACAGCAAGAAACAAAACATGATAAACACATTCCTTGACTGAAATGCCAGCAAAGTGAGAAGGATTTGCTTCAAATTGTTTCCAAGGCTCAAAGCAAAAGGACTTTGGAAGTATGTGGAGCGATACTTGTTTATGGACAGTTACCTTTGAGAGCTGCACTGCAACAAGTTTGTTAGCTGGTAGCCAAACAATACTGTTATCTCATATTGTATTGTATGAAAGGTACCCAGCAGGTTCTGTGGAGTTGGAGTGTCGTCCAAGTGTAACTTCGAATGAAAACAGCTAAGGGTTTCTGTCTCCCAAAATTTGGATGCATTGCACCGGTACCCATGGGCATTCCTTTATGCACTACAGGTTATAAAGCACCAGTTTGGATGTTGGTAACCTCCTTGGAGTCCACAAGTTTCAATGCTATACAAGCAACAATACCATCACTGGTATCCCGCAGACTCTTCTTGGATTCCCGTACAACTGTTTCTATGCACCATTGCAGTGGAATTCTTGGAGAAGAGAATTTTCATTTTCTCTCTGTGTCATTTTGAGGAAAATACTGCTATAAATTTCTCTAACTGAAGATGGCAACAGTTGTCTAAGAGACAGGTGGATCTCGGCATCAGAAAACCCTTTGGGTTGAAATATCTTTATCTAAATCCCCAAATAATTTTTTTTTAACAAAGATGATCATGTCCTATCGTATGAGGTTGTACAGTTACCATTGTCTCTTTTTGTATATAAAATATTGAATGAAAATAATATCACCACTACTGTTAAAACTTTGTAACTGTGGTGACAAATTATGTACGTTCCATTTTGGAAATACCAGAAAGAATATTTTGTTGTACATATTTGCGATTGTGACAGACAAATATTACATGTTCCTGTACATAAAACACATCCGGAACTGTCACAACGAAGTTTTGACAAATTGTAATTATAATATAACATATATACAAATTTCTAGCGCAGACAATTAATCTGTATATTGATTATTATTTACAGAAGTTACAAATGTTACCATACTGTTTCTTACAAGAAGTGCCTCTTTTTCAGGTCTCAAATGCGGTGGGTCAATGTATAACAGTGCTTGGTCTTTTTGAGATGTAAAAGATTTGTACAGTAATGAAAGTGGTTCCACTGCAGAAATGTAATATATATTTTTCGTTGATGTATCATTGGTTGAGAATGGTTCATATATTTACATCATTTCGCCTGATAGATCGCACATTGGAAACCAACATAACTATGTAAAGAAGTTTGATGATTCAACAAATGTTGAGATCATGGGAGGATAGCATTACAAAGGCAAGTTTTCTTGGCAGTTTCTTGATGCTGTAGAGAAATTTGCAGAGCACTGTCATGTACAACTTTCTAGATGCAATCATGTGGCACTTAAATACTGCTTTGGACCAAGAGGTTGCAAGCACCTGTTCATGTGTGCGAATCTCAGCACAATTAATATTCCTTTCTCATGCAAAAAGGTAAAAACAAACCAGATAGCGTACACGGGTCACTGCTTTGTCACATAAATAAGCAGTACCTTACACCTGCACCTCTTCTAGTTTTTCACCAGAAGAATAAGAAGTTCATGGTGATATTATTACCCTGGATTGACAGGTTTATAGTCATTTCTGGATTCACTTTATTGCTCATTGCTTCAGTGAGCCACATTTATGCAACAGACTGTAATCAGTAGTACGTAAAATGGGCTCTCATGGGTAATGCTTCGCTCCTAGAAGGGGAAATGGAAAGTCTAGTGAAGTGTCTGAGTCAATCCAGCGTAAGCTTTAATATAAGTCATTTCAAACCAAATCAAAAGCTAGGAAATTGTTCTGTAAATGTTGCTCTGCATTCCAAAATGGTCTTATGTCCAAAGTGGCCTTACATGCAGTCGGCTGTAATAGCAAACCTACTGATACATTTGCATACATTTGTTGATCAAAAGCAAAGCTAGTTCAGAGTGCTCATAAGACTGCCCTTGTAAGATGGGCTTATTACAAGCAAAATATGTAGATTATATTCCATTTCAATTAAGTTTGAGGAGGCCCTGCTTTACTATAAAGCTGAGTCCAATGACAACTTAGCCAAAGAAGCGAGCTTGAGTACTGAGCAATATCAAATTGTACATTTGGACATGTGGAAGTGAACAGTCTCTTTCACTTTTTTTTCCTCCACTTTTTCAACATGTTTTTTTTTTTGCATTCTCAATTATAATGAATAACTCATATGTACGGCTGGTTAAAACATACCAAGGTCTGTTCTATTTTGGAAGAATAAAATCTGTGGAACACACAGATCAGGAGCATAAACATGCATAACTTACAAATTAAAGTATGTCCCCATCAAATCTATGGCTGGTCTTACATATACATGTAAATTTCTAGACACGTTTTCGTAGGTAATTGCTACACTGCAAATAAATGAATTGTGTCGACGGCTTTGTCATTTGTAGGGGATGTATAAAAGATTTAAGTATTACTTTCCAATTCTTGTCCATTTCCCATTTTTTGTAGGACCTTCCAAAGTGCTTTCCTTGCATTCTAGGCATTCCCAAGGCATGGAAAGGCTGGATAATTTTGAAAGTTTGTGCAAGTGTTTGCCCTTTTCTGTGTGACTGAATAAAAAATATCAATTGCCCACCCAAGGATCACCCTATTGAATGTTCAAATCTTTTAATGATAATCGAGAATATTTCCCTGTAGAAATTAAATTTTACTATGCAAACATGCAATTTACAATAAGCCTTCCATCAAGTGTAAGTGCTGTCACAAAAAAAAGGACCATGACATCTGGATGTCATTTTTAGTAGTATTGGTATTATTTTTTTCTTTCTTTTGGGGGATTACCCTATGATTCCAATTTAAATTTCCTCCGGTATCAGACCAGGAATAGTTTAGGCTGCATATGAATCTCTTGTAGTTACTGGTACATGCAAGTCTTTGACAAACTTGGGCAGATGTTTGCAGTAAAATGCAGCCGAAGCTCTGGACGGCTGTTTCATGGACGATCTTATTTTTAGATATCATGTCAAATGGTGTGCGTAACTTTTCGGGGTTTAAGCCGGGTAAATTTGAATGTTGTCCTTTTTAAAGTACTTAAATAACTACTTTGAAGGTTTGCACAGTTAAATATCAAATTAGTTTGCAATATAAGTCGTGTATCTCTTCTGTAAGTTGTGTGGGGCTCACTGAAGAGTGAAGTTAGCTATCTGGTTAGCCAGCTTTTCCTACCACAGGCAACACCAAGAAGAGATACGTTGTCTTGTAGCAAACCTATCACACTCTAAAAATGTGTAAATTAGAGAAAGACAAATTGGGAAGAAAACAAATTATGCACACTACTCTGGTGAACAGGTCTTGAAAAATGTGAAAGTGAATATACATTGTAATTTGAGAATGGCCGTCGTGTGCCAAACTGCTGTTGAAATCTTGTATTTGTATAGAAAGAGATTTTAAAGAAACTAGTTTTTGCCTTTGTACAACTTCACACAGTCATGCAGATTTTATATTCTGTGCCATCTTCAACAACCATGTACATGTATTTGCTCATTATTTTATATACATATATAAAAACAAAAATGAAACGAGAGAAAAAAAATAAAAAGATGAAATAAATTGTACCAAATGCAGTTGTCTGTAATTGATATGGTTTTTCTTTCAAGTTTAAACGGAACTATATGCCTAGGATGGCTGAGAAGTTAAAGGCAGACTAGTATGGTGTCGGTGAACAACCTCTGCATCATTGTCCTGTTGACCTCTGGCATGCGGTCAACTCGATATGAAATTTCAACGTCCAGAGGACTGCAGGCATTCGTACTAAGTTTTACAAGAAAACTCTGGAACCATGTTACTAAATCTTCTCTAGTCGTCCCCACCTGGTGACTGAATGTTTCATCTTAACAAATACAGAACCTGTGGCACGTTTCATGCTGGTCATGCTTAAATCACTTGGATTCCTTCTCTGGTGTATAGGAGATCGAAGGAAATCCACTCATTCTAAATTGAATTGACACTTTCAATTTAGCTGATGTAGTTATGGGGACCTAATCTTGTCTACATGGCAATTTAGGAGAATTCTGTTTTATAGGGAGTGAGTTCAATTTAGCCTGACTGACTTTGGATTTTTTTCTGAACTCGGATCTCAGTCGTGGTGTTTAAATTTGTAAATAGTTCCATAGGCGTAGCCAGGGGGGGGGGGGGGGGGGGACAGATGGTACCAGCCAGCCCCCCCCCCCCCCTTCCCCGCTTTTTGATTTTACGGAGGGCAAGTGTCGGGAGAAAAAAATTTTACCCCCCCAAAAAATGACCGTGCTACGCCCCTGAGTTCAGTGGCCAATACTAAATGTAAGGCTAAAATACGATCATGAAGCCCAAAAAAAGGTTTTCTGTAAATGTAAAGAATCAAAGTTCCAATAAATTAATTTTAAAAAACACGGCCTCCCATCTCCCCTTACAGCCGTCCTTTCCACACCTTTGCCTATCAAATTACAACATAGGAAACTATGAATACACTAATTGTCTCAAAATCGTGCGGCTTGAGGTGCGCAAGTCACCATTGATTAACCATTTCAAAAACTTGAAATGCTTTTGTTAAGTACAAAGTAAGTGACTCTTGTATATCCTTCTGAGATTAATAAACGATATGTTCGTCGGTGCTGATTGATCAGTACAACTATTGTGCTGATAACTTTTCGCTTGTTACGCAAAATACCATTCACTGCGTTCATGCGTAATTGTTGCAACCGTATCGCCATTCAATTTCCATCAATAAAAAGTAATAAATCTTTACAGTCAGCAGTAAAGTTTCGTAAACTCCCTATTGAGTAAACGCTACGTTTAAGATCAAACATCATCCTGTCTCCGTAGGCAATATTCCAGCCGATTCGGTCATTATCGAAAGTTTACCGAATACACAGATTATTTGTATATTTGTTAAGAGTGGGCTACCTTCACCGGGCATCGGTTCTCTGCAACATTATAAAATATTCCTATCATCCACGTACATGTACTTGTATGACTATATTAAGACTTACTTGTCAATATAATTGTTCATCTATCGTAATTCATTTAGTCGATTATTAATACAAGAGCGTGACAAATCTTACCAATCATTGAGTTTGTTATTCTTACACAAACCTAATACATTGTACATACTGATACGCTTTCAGACGTGGCCAATGTGATCAAGAAGCTCGAACAAAACGTTAGCAAAGATGCATAACGCCTTCAATGCATATTTTATGAATGAAAACGGCCTCCCATCTCCCCTTATAGCCGTCCTTTCCACACCATTGTCAACAAATTTACAAAAAAAGTTTACCGCTAATTAACTACTTCAAGAAGTCGCCGTATGCAAAAAAAAATACACTTTTTCCTTGACGATTTTGAACAATGCGAGGCTGAAGAAATCCCTTCGGCGTAACAAGAAGGTAACATGGACAGTGGAGGGTGCGAAGATTTGTGCTGGTAAAAAAATGTTATGGCGTGAGCAACTTTTCATGAATAGGCTGAATTGATTGCAGACTGATGATGGAGATACACGTGATGTTTTGATGATAAAGACAAAGAGAACTTTCTCTCCCGTTGGTGGGCGAATACTCTGTAGAAGTGTGACAAATTGAAGCAAACTCTAGTTGGCTTTTTGAATAACTTACCAACAACAACGTCCATTCTATGAAGTCATCCTTGTAGATTTTTGTTTGTAATTCCACAACTGAAGAAATCTGCTAATAATCATGCTTCTGGAAGATTCGGCAAGATTCACTGGACAATTGAATATTCTAGCGATGACATGATTTTGAGCCCCCACCCAACACGAAGTTTTTTTACATACAAAATTTAAGACTATCGTTTTAATATGGGTTAATATTTTTATCGAGTATAAACTTTAGTTAGTTTGGCCTACCCTATTTATCATTTCTCCCTCGATAACCCCCATCCCGCCTTATAGCTGCCGCGCGATGGGTGCATATTATTGCATTGCCTGCATGCATTCGCGTATCACTTGTTCACTCACTCACTTTCTCAACACTCGCCACTCACCATCCACCACTCACTAACATGTTACTACACATCCCATTGGCTCAACTTGAACAATCAGACTCTAAGTCTCTCACAAGCTCGTATCACAGTATCGATTCGATTAATCGAATCCATACTCTGTATAGGTACCCCACGGTACCAACGAAACCGAACACCGAGTAAGCTGACTCAGTGACGTACCGATTCCGATGTTTCCGAAAACGAATAATCGTTTCCAACTCTGTGTCGGAAACGCGCAAGTCACTGACAGTGACACATCTCTCTCAAACGATATAACTTGTCACTCATTCATTCACAGTTTTTACTCACCCAGAACTCACAACAGGTCTACACACGTCAACCTCTAATACTCCGACACTCACAAACTCACTTGTGCAAGCGCATGCCAATGCCTTTGGCTAAAGTGCCTTGCGTTCCGCTGTGCTTCAGTGCATTTTCCCACAATATACCCCCGCCCACTCAATGTGTTTTCAATTATTTGTTAGATCGTACAATTTTAATTATTATTAAACCTGTATTAATTACAGTTAAATTGGTGCATTTGCTAAGGTGTAAGTTATTGAAGCTTATGTTTAGAATTATGTTTTACGAAAATATATTTTATTTGTATAATAAATTATGGTTAACATATATTTATCTATTTATTTATTTATCTAAATCTAAACAAAAATCAGGTTGATTACATATTGTGAACCCGCACACCCTTCCATGACAAAAAGCCTCACTTAGACTCATTTGGTAGTTCGAAGCAGGACAAAATCGTTAGAAATGTCGTTTAGGCAGCACTTGCAGCGTTGCTTAACAATTTACATTCATGAAGAAGACATGATGAAAAGATGAAGAAGACATGATGACAAAATGAAGAAGACTTGATGGAAATTTGAAGAGGAATCTTGAAGTTTGAACCTCCGATGTCATTTGCAGCTTTTCGCTCGACGAAGAGAGAACTTGGGAATAACTGTTTTTCTTTCTGAAGGAGGCAATGAATTTCCTCTTGATGAGGAAGAACACGAGAAGAAGTCCAGGAACAGTCCATTCCTTGTAACTGGGATTATGGGGCACGTGACGAAGAAGACACATTGTCTTGAAGGAGACACTGTTGCGTTACTTCTGGAAAATCGCACAAGACGAAAATTGCTGTTTTCCTTTGACGAAGAAGAAGAACGTGAAAGGGATTTTCCATTAATCATGCTGTCGGCTGCATGTTTGATTTCGTCAAGAGGTGTTTTTTTTGCTGTCAGTTTTGTTTAAAATCTGCAGCTCCTTTTATATGATAACGTTGAACCTAACGGCAGCCTGCCATTATTTCACATTAAGTACACGCTGGAGCATGTAAGGAGTATGGTACAATACTTAGTATGTCAATCAATTGACGCAGCGCTTCACGATTAAATATGAGAAAAAAAGAGTCATCATTGGGTGAAAAACGTAACTTTCTGACAGTAAGAAGGGAACAAGTTCGTTATGAAAGTAAACCTGACACAACAGATGATACGCAAAATTTTACTCCTATAGACTGTGTAGCCATTTTAGCCTAGGAAAGACGTGCATTTTCTTACTCCAAAACAATTGTTAAAAAGCGTATCCTTTTTTTCTTTTACCCATGTTGAGTAGTTCTTGTCCCACCCTTGTCGGGTAAAACTTTAAAACTACATTCTACTCAAATATTAGTCAGAGGTTTTACAACTTCAAGCCTTTATTATTACTGTTGGAAGATGTTTTCTTTTAAACTTTGATCTACTAAAAGACAAAGTAATCTAACAAGAAATCAAAATATTTCAATTTAAATTTATAAATGGTTTTGTTTAGAAATTGCTATCAATTTGGTTTGAAACGTCAGGCCAGCTAATTTTGTTGATTACAAGTTTTGCATTTATATAGTTAAGTTATATTTATATAGCCTGTTTCTTCCTATCCTGTGATAAAATTTAAAAAAACAAACAAACAACGAATTCAATTTAAAGACCCATACTGCACTTACATTATAGGAGATATAGATTTTAGGGTGTACTTTTGTCCCAGAGATTCGCACGAGTACACAAGGGGAATTCACTGTTACTGAATGTAAATAGCAAAAAACACCAGACCCATCCAAGATGGAGAGCTGAAGTTCTGGTTGAATTTATCTTGGTGAGGAAAATTCCGCAAAATGTGTGCCCTCCTGAAAACACAAAATATCAAAATTTTAAAAGATCAGACCGTGGAGACGTCCATTAAGCGAACCGCTTTGGCTAACATAACATTCAAAACTAAATGATTGAACTAAAAACTTGAGGTTGAGTAAGATAACTGAAAAAATGGCTGAATTTGTAAACATTTCACATCGGCCCGGATTACCCAATATAGGCACTGTGCCTAGGGCCTACGAACAATTTGGGAGCCTACGAAAACTTGGGGGCTACGAAAATATCGCAGTGTGCCCATAGGCCTACGCACACGCGCAGAGAAAAGTTTTTTTAAAAAGGTTTAGGGTCTCTCTCAGAATTTTCGATTTCACCAACTGACGCTGTACAGCATGTATGCATACTAACTAAGGCCCTACGTATAAAATGTACGTGTAAAGTCTGTCGTTCTGAAG